TTGACTGCTCCGTGTGAGAAAACCCTCGTGATTCCTTTAGCATAATCAACCGACAGAGAACCGTCTGCCTGCTTCAGTTCGCTGAGGCTTCGGCGATTAGGCGGCTGAAACCCACTTTGTCGCCAGTCTCGTCCTGCCTTGGTGAGCTTGGTGGCCACATTCCTCGAGGCGCAGTGCCTGTCAGCATCAAATGAACTGACAGTTTTCGATTCACCAATGACGTTACGCGCTGAATGTCTCCGCACGCAACCTAGATATTCGAATGGATGAAAAGGACCATTCGTTGCTCTTAAGATCCTGAAATAGTTGTCCCAATGAGGTTATGCGGAATGAACCCGGCTGACTTATCACGGATGATCATTAGGTCAGAGTTACTGGTACAAGTTTTCCGTGCTTTTCAGCCACAAGTTTGTTGTGTGGAAATGGGGGGGGGGGGAACATAACATCCCTCCCACACAAGATGTGTGTGTTCAGCCACGGTGCCGCTTGTCGATTGGCGCAATGCACTCACTCAGTGTATCTGTGGGTCCACATGCCTAGCTGATGTTGGGCATCTGTGAGCGATCACTTGCTCCATAGCCCCGCACACCTGGCCGACAGCACGTCATTAAATCAGCTGTCCCGTTCAAAGTCATCCATGAAGCGGCTGACAATCAATCAAGGTAGATCCTCAAGCGGAACCCAGAAACCGTTGTGGTCATTACCATTAGGCCATAAGAACGGAAACTGGGCGTTTAAAGTCTACTCTTACACTTGGACTGCCGAGAACAATGCAGTTTGTGTTCTGTAGCCTGTGGGGTCAAACACTACTTGCGGCTAGACATAAATACCAGCGGTCAAGAGTGTCTATCCAAAATTGAGCACAGCTTACTCTATCCATTCTCTGATATAAAACGCTTAGTATGAGTAGTTCATCACAGCTGGACTCAGACAGTGACCACACGTACGGAAAAGCACTGCACGGCCGTTTCAGCACTCCGAGGATCGTCAACAGTGTATATTCCATTTGACTACTTGGGGACTGGAACGCCCAACTCCACTATTGCCAGTCTCTTGTTGAGACTAATCAGCTACGGGGGACGGTAACGACCCTCGTGACTAAGTGCGTATTGCGCTTAGCCAACGAACTCAGTAGTGAAGATAGCGATTATCAAAAATCCTAATGACTAGAGATGACAAAGTGGAAGTAACAATGCATTGCTGTCCAAGGGAAAGTGACATCCTCCATATTAGTGACAAATCCGCGTGTGAATTTGGGCGACGTGTAAAATCTTACACCTTGAGAAAGGCATTATCAATTGGAATACCATTAATCAGATATAACAAACTGCTCAGTGCGAAGAGTTATATTTTAAAATGCTGAACAAAACAATGTCCATATCATCGTGGTTGCGACTGTGGGTACAAAATACGAGGGCCAAGGCCAGTGCGCAAAATCACATGAGTGTTTCATTACACCAGGTAACCATATGAAACAACATTGGCTGTGCCCAAGAACTGGGGGATGAAGGGTTTGTAGTTTGGTACATGAAGAGGGGTTTATGGCCCAAACGTAAGCTGAGTTCAGTGTGTGTCGACAGAAATCAGTTTAGATGCTGCCCGCTGGGTTTCCGGGTGAGAGAACGGCTGTTGCATACGCAGGAGCGAGCAAAGCTGTAATTTTGGTTAGTTGGGTGTGTCGGGTTCACCCGAAGTAGGTCCAGGGTGGTGATGAAGAAAGCAGTGACGAAGGAGCAGCACACAGTTGTAGACGACGTGATGGTAAAACCGAAGTAGCCTAAGTCGGGCAGGTGTGGCCGATTGTAGTTGCGTTGAGCCCAAGCGCCAATGAAATATCCGGTTCCACCTGACTAGCAACTTGCCGTCTACACTCCAAGTAAACCCAATATTCCCATCAGAATCCAGAAACGAGCATCAATTTGTTTCAGGAACATTGAAGTTTAACATGTGACCCATACTCCCACCGGTGAGTGGAGCCAAATTGAGATGAAAATTCCTGATAGACCTTTAAATATCAAGAACAAAAGACCGAAGGTAAACAATTGTTTTCGATGATTCATCTTCAGACTCGTACAATCATATTGGTGAAATAACAATGGGCGTACAAGTGGATTAACGGTCAGTTCAAATGAGATTGATCACGTGTCGACCAAAGGCATGAACCAGTAACAAACAACAAACTAGGACTGGGGTACGGTTGTACAAATGCAGTTGCTCTCAGAAGGATCCGTTTTGTCTGACCAAGGTAGCTTAACAGCTTTGATCAGCTTCTTTTGTGCATGACATATTTGTCGTGGCCGACCAGTCTGTTGACCTTGATGCTGTTATTGACCGTTTTAATCGGGCCCACGGATCATTGCAATTTACCTACGAAAAGGAACTGAACGATCAGTTGCCGTTTGTTGATGTCCTGTTAACTAGAAGGGCAGACGGCTCGATCCAACGGCAGATCTACAGCAAGAAAACCTGGAGTGGCCAGTATACGAACGTTAACAGTTTCCTCCCGTTGATATATAAGGGAAACCTAATTCGCTGTCTAACCACAAGGGTCCACAGGATCTGTTCTGAAGACAAGTTGGATAATGAGTTGACGTTCATTCAGAATTTGCTGCGCGAAAATGGATATCCTGATCGTTTCGTTTTTAGGAACATACAAAATAAGCGCGACCAGTTGCAGGTTCAGACAGCAGAGAAAAAAGAACTTTTCATACCATTATCCTTCAAGGGAGACACCGCTGCTGAGCGTGTAACTAGAAGCTTTTCAACAGCTGTCAGGTCAACTTTTCCAGCAGCCAAGCTTAGGTGTACCTTTTCCACGGAGCCACTCATCCGTATTTACAACAAAGGTAAGTTACCGACGCTGACGGCTTCTATGGTAATTTATCAGTTTGAGTGCGCTTGTGGCGCTGCTTACATCGGTCGAACGGCGCGGCAACTGTTGAAGCGCATTAAGGAACACCTACCACGCTGGTTGCGTCGAGGCGGTACTAGGGCTATAACTAGCTCAGTTATGGCTCCTCTTGCTGATAGCGGACATGAGGTTGACCCAGTGAGTGCCTTTCGAATACTATACAGGGTCCATCCACTCCAGTTGAAAGGCCTGCGCCTCCGCACCCTTGCTACTGCCGAGGCGACCAGCATTCGGTTGTATAAACCGCTTTTGTGTGCACAAAAGAAGTTGATCGAAGGTATTAAGCTACGTCGGCCAGCCAAAACGGACCCTTCTGAGAGCAACTGCAATTGTGCAACTGTACCCCTGTCCTAGTTTGCTGTTTGTTACTGGTTCATGCCTTTGGTCGACACGTGATCAATCTCATTTGAACTGATCGTTAATCCACTTGTACTTGCCCATTGCTATTTCGCCCATATGATTGTACAGGTCTGAAGATGAATCATCGAAAACAATTGTTTACCTTCGGTCTTTTGTTCTTGATAATGAAAAGGGAATATTCCAGTTACCTTTAAATATCGTTTGATTTTTACACTACTTACAGCGTTTCGGTAGCTGGTTTTTTCCACAAACTTTACTTCAAACTTGATGTGTGGTTTTTTGGGTTTGAGGTTGCGAGGAAGTGCTCAGTTTAACTGAAATCCCGTAAAAAGCAAACATTGCATCGCTGGTTGTTGCAAGCAGTGAAATAAAATGATTGTTATGCCTCTCATTGGGCTTACTAGTTCCACAGCCAACTAACTAAAGTCAGCGCACAATGGCGAACTTCAGGCCCAACCGCGTGAACGCCTTCCACTCAGTGTAGTTTGTAAAACAAAGGAAATCAAAGATATGGTCAACGGTATATTTCGGGTGAGTGAATAGTTGACCAGTTAAACAGGTGCAACTTGTATCGTCACTTTTATGCACTGTTTAACTTAAAGGCGTGGAACACTGTTAGCTAGTTATTCTGATTAAACCTTGTGCTGTTTGAGACCGCGTTGCTTCTTCATTTGAATAATCGCGTTGGGACGTAACAAACAAAGCCTTACAAAGTAAAAGCACCACTTTTCACCCCTTTTGTAGCACTATCGTTGCTGCAATTAATTTAAACTGGCGTGTTCTCCTACAAAAATCATGAGTTAGGAGCACATATTCATTCAAGAAAAAAAATAAAAGTGGTAAATGGTATGTCCCTTGACAGTAAGACACACAGTCCAATTGAAAGCCTTGTGGATTTGGGTATGGACTGTGACAAGCTCACGCACCATCAAGTCATTGGTGCTCGAAATCTGACGATATTATATGCGGTAACATCAAAATCCTCTGATTATAGTTTGGTTATCTTGTCTAAACCATTTGAATCAACATATATGTACAGCAACTTAGTAGAATCATAATACAGCTAAGGGTCGTTAGCCTGTTACTCATGGTATGCGGTCTAAGGAAGAAATATCCCCTTGTAAACAACTGGAACAGTGAACACTCCCATGTTTATGACAGAAGTGTATCGCATCGTACGGTCATGATCTGACTATCCTCTAAGGTAAACACAACATAATTCAATACTTACGGTCCTTGTAATCAGTTGCATCTATTCGCGTAGAGCTAAACGAAACTTGTGAAGCCACCAGAAAACAGTTAGAAGTTAGGGTATTGGGAAGCGGTCTTGATTAACCGGTCAGCTTATTGCCGACTCTCATCATTGGGATAGTAAACAGGCATATTGATTTACGAATGAGGTAGGTGCAGTGCGTTGCTCTGCGTCTTCCTTCCAAGTAAAACTTAGAAGGGCAACCTATGCAATGGTACGGCCGTGTTCCAACCCACTACTCTACTAGTCTCGGCTTTCTACATGTTTAATGAGAGTACTATTGATCAGTCACAGGAATTTCCATCCCATATAATTAATATGTGAATATGTAAAGTAAGGTGAAAAAAGATGCCAGGTATTATTCAATATTCAACCACGATTTTTGCGCATCCGTCATAGAGTAGAAGCCGCCTGTGAACCGCAAAATCGACGAATACTTGAACAACTACTGAAACGCTCGTTCTTATTTTTTTACAGGATTTGTGTGGATTTGCCACGGGGACAAGTTCAGCAGCCACATCACAGAAGTGCAGGTTGCAGAGAACCGTATGATTCAACTGGATATGCATGTAAGTTGGATGTCAGCTGCCACCTAACCGCAGTCGCGCATTGACACATTAGATAACCTGGAGGGTAGTTAAGTTTTCATCCATTATACAAATAGCAAACACCCAGTTGTCTCCAGTTGCAACTCACGACACTTCGGTCAAAAATGAGTAGTATGTTATTTCACGCGGTGAGGTAGTTACTATACCTTAAGGTTCGTGTCTTGCATGTGGTAAACCGCGGCATTTGCTGATGTTACTTAAGAAGTGGTCAGTGTTCGCCCGCAGAAACAGATAACTCAACGGTGCGCTTCGATAGCTCAGGTCATCAGACATTTGCACAGGTCATGTTTCGGAAACAAAACTGGTCATTTCTCTAAAATATTTGTGTTCAACATGTATAGAAGAGTCATAATGGAAAATGTATTTTTTCCGTAGTATACAGCATGCATTGCGTGCATCACGAAATGCATATCAATAGTAGTAGGCCAAATACAACAGCTTGTTCCCTCACTTCCTCTGTCGCTTGCACAAATCCTAAAAATATCCCTGTAATGTGTCCAGTAGCAGCCAGTCCGCACTGGACTGGAACACTGTTCATGGTATTTGGTCGACGTTTGTAATAACGTCATGAATAATTCCGCTCCAGACAACACAGTTGTTAGGGACTGAAGGAAATGAATTTTCAAAGATAAATTGCAGTATAATTTTGATATTCCATCCGCATGTTTTCTACTGGTCCCTTCTGGTCTTCTACCCTAACATTCCTGAGAAAGTTGATAAGCAATAGGCGAAAATTATAGAGTACTCGTTTTGCACCAAGGTGTTGAACCTATTATCTCTGAACAGTTCTTGAATCTGAGTGTCGTATTAGCCTCAACAAAACAATAACAACGTTTGAGCCTCGATCAACATTCTATTGTTTAACGTGCGCAAGCTCATTTTATATGCCGCATCAATTAGAATCACACAAATTGTTACATTTCATCCAATCGTTTCTATCGCCGCAGCCAATTGAATGTTGTTCTCGTCATTCCTAACTAATTATCTACTTGGTGTCAGCAACACGCTCATTTAGAGTCGATTTGGGGATAACGAATTCAGCAAGCGAGACGTTAATCTGGGCTCATTGCTTCCAGCTAGATAGCTATCACCACAATGAGAACCCAAATAAAACTTTATTTGGCATTCGCTCCAGTAAACAAGTGACTTTTCATATAAGTACCGGAAATCTGGCGAAATACAGACAATAGCTTTCACGAAGTCTCAGCTACTTAGTTTGCCTTGCAAAGATGGTAGCAGGATTGCCTGAACGTCAACCAAAATTGAGTGCCGTATGTTATCCACCCTAACTGGTACACTCTAATTGTGAGTCCGTTTCTGCCTCAAGCAACGTAGTTTCCTTGTTTGGTTATTGTACCCACATGAGAATTACCTGTATAATTTAAATCTTCGCTGCAGCTCCCTTAACGTGGCTATTGCCTACAAATCAACATAAAGATGTCAGATGTGTACAATGGAATCCAGCAGATGCTTTGTGATATGTCGGTTTCGCATATAGAGAACATGCTCTACTGAATTATATGAAAATGTTTTCCAACTTGCGAAATCGCATTTTTTAGACAGTTTCAAACAGTCCACCTATTTTTCCCCATTCTTGTTATTCCTGAGAGATTTTTAGTGCATTCAGAAGCTATTGATACACTTGTGATGTAGCAACGTTCTATACTGTACCTACAATTAGTAACAACTAACGCTTTTGTATAACAGTGGTCTAACCTGTTAGGAGTGAAAACTGAGATATTTCAAATGACCAACCGTTCTACTAGGCTCGAAGTTGTACACTGCTGTCATCGACACAATCCAGCAGCCACCACGCAGTGGTGTTACACTTTATCAGAAAATGAGACTTGTGACTTTGGATGGCTTCTGTAAGGTTGCGTGATCCAACATGCTATATTGTGGCATCAATCCAGGCTTGTTTCTGAGGTAGTTGCAGTTCTACTGGATCCGTTTACGCGATGAAACATAAAAATGAACTATCGGAGTGATCTACAAAATACTACATATAAGATTTGCTCATGACTTTATACGTGATAATCACAGTTTCAATGTTGATCATGGTAACCGACTTCGTTTAGCCGGTCAACCGTGACACTAGCGCTAATGCTTACTTAATCTAAGGGCCTTGAACTATGCTACTGCAACAATAGATATTACAAAAATAAAACAATACAAACAGCCTAATAACAAGGAGGAATCCCAAGGGAGTACAATGAAATATTTTCAAACGGGCAAATTAAAAAAATTAACTTTCAGATGGCGCAGTCATTTCGTGCAAGCCCATCAATTACAATCGTGCAAAAGTTATAGGTAAAACGCGATCGTATGAGATCAGTAGCTAGCCAATCGCTGGTAAATCAGCCCACCCCTCGTTGCCACAGAAAGTTCTGACTACCGCTTATCTGTTTCCGCACGCGAAGCGGTAGCCGTTCTTGATTGACGCCAACAGTTTCGTGTGAGGCCGCTGACTGCATATCGGGACGGTGTATGGCTCATCGGGATTGGCTGGATGGTTGATGCTCAGCAATTGCGTTATGATTGCCAAGGCGACTCGATTCCTCATTTCACCCCAGTGCGTAATCACCGATCGGATGCGTGGTAACCGCTTGGGAATGTCTTCACTGATCCTCGGTTTTCACAAGACACCAGCTGTGCACTGGCCAGCAAGTCAATCCCGGTGAGTCGTTCACCGTGCCGATGCGCAGTCTGCGGTCCCCCATTCTCATGCTACTGGAAACCATTGGCATCGATCCAGAACGGCCACCGCTTATGTGAAGAGACAGATGGGTGTGAATCTGAACAGACCGTAGTAACGCGAGTCGTGCCGACTGACCAGAGATTGGCTAGCTCCTGATGTCATAAGGCTGCGCTGCTTACATCTAATTTTTACAAGATTGTGATTGGTGAGCTTGAACGGATTGACTGAGTCAGCTCACAGTCTACGTCCACTGCTTTTCCTGTTCGGAATTATGAAGTAACTTTCCTGTTTCAAATACAATAGCTGTTAGACAGGAGGCAGGTTTTCCAGTTATGCTTGGCAACATCAGGTTTCGGATTTGCTTGTCACTGTGCCCAGACACAGGACGCCTGCGTCTACAGAGAGACCATGAATGGCTTGCGCTGCATCACCCACAACTCCAATCGTTCATCCAAAATCCAGTGTAAACTCGAAGGAATAAGATCTGAAGGCATGTGGGTGGGAGCCACGTTTCATCAACGGAGCCGGCCCACACTCATTCACAGACAAAAGCAAGCACGCTGTATTTGGGAATCAAGCGCAGCACCAATGCTGTTTCACGGAACCATTATACACTGCACCTCTGGTGAAGGCTAAAATATACTGTTTCGCTTGTGATGATCGTGAGCCCGAATTTGGCCGCTGTCGAAGCCAAAGCACTAGTCATGTGCTGCAACTCATCCGCACTGTGTGCAAACAGCGCACAGTCGTCAGCGAACGGCAACGTACGGATAGTTGTCGCACAAACTAGGGTTCTCGCACCGGAACGACACATGTTCAACAACCCACCATCAATACCGTGCTCCACATGAACACCGTAAGCACAAGCCGCATCAAAAGCACAAGATATCACTGCATGGAGATATATAGTAAACGGCGCAGAAGTTGAGACACAGCCTTGCTTCACACCAGAAATAATCATAAAGTCATCCGAGGTCTGCCCATTCAGCTGCACCCTTGCCCGCATACCACTATACAGACATTCAATTAAACGTACAAAATGACACGGGCTACCGAATTTACCCAATAACAGCCACTGTGCCTAGCGGTTCATCGTATCAAATGCCTCAGTGTAATCAACAAAAAACGAGTACGCTGGCTGATATCGTTAGTTACACTTCTCCTGCAACTTACGAGCCGCAAACACCATATTTATAGTGCTGCGACCCGAATGGAATCCACACTGCTCTTGCACCACGTTAGATTCCACAACCTGACTGACGAGGCGGTTGAGCAGGATTTGGGCAATCACCTTGCCACACAACTGAGTGAGTTGATGCCACGATAATTATTGGAACTTTGTTTGCTCATTTTACTCTTGTACATTTGTAGCACAAGGGCATCCTTCAGTTCATCAGACACCCCCTCCTCAATCCATACGCGTTGCGCCAAGTGGTGTATTGCAGTCACCAACGCAGACCCGTCGTATTTCAATACTTCAGGCGGGATCCAGTCGGCACGGGCACACTTGCCATTACGCAGCTGAGCTAGTGCTCTCTGCGTCTCATCCAGTGTCGGCGTGTCTGCCAGACTTATCTTCACCTCTTGCTACTTGAGGCCGTTAAAAGTAGGCCAGTCGATCTCACAACGGTTGTTCAAGAGACAGTCAAAGTGTTTCCGCCAGACCTGCATTGTGTCTGCAGTCTGTGTGCAGGTAGCGCCTGAGTCACCATCAATCAGCGTCCTCAGCGCCTTCAACCACGGTCCTTACTCCGCCTTCAAGGAGTCAAAAATGCGTTGGATTGGCGGCATTCGACGTAGCATTCTATTTGCCTCGCCTGCTTGGTCTACTATCCAGTTATAATGCGATGGAGCTCTCGGCTCAGCCTTCGTCCAATTGGCCCAAACGTTCTCTTTTCCCCAAATTACTGGGGTCTGCCACATGTGCGGCAAATGCTGCATTCTTCTCCGACACCAGTGCGCCAATAGTCGTATTGTTCTCATCAAACAAGTCTTGCCGCCTACAGTTTGTGCGCCCAATGGTCTCCTCGGCAGCAGCTGTCATCTGGTCGCGAATGTGGTGCCACAGGTCGCCCACTGTGGCTATGCATTCCACATTACACAGTTGTGCAGCGTTTGCCTTCTCCAGCACAATACGTTTCTCCACTGTACCGAGGGTGAGAAAGTTAAATTTACGCCTATTTACGGCGGGGGCGAAATAGATAGAGTTACGAATATATTGGTACAGTTTGGTCCACACCAATTCATGATCAGTGCTTCACTT